ACGAGATCACGGGACAAGCCCAGGTGGATGAGTTGACTCAGAGCACCCTCCGTGCTCCCCACTTTGACACAGACGCACAGACACGCACGGACACACACATGCACACACTTACATATCGAATTGTATTAATAGATAGCGTCACTAAAACTGATCTGGTTCATTTTTCACATGATGCCTCGTAATTAAATAGATTTATCTACGACGCGTGAACGCTAATTCATAGTCGACTCAACACTTCATCCCTTCGGGGTCGATAAAACTAGCACTAACTTGTGGTTGTTTTATTACGTGACGGCTGTCTCCCGCCGCATGTATGTAGAATCTTCACTAACAATGACTTGGGACCGTGAACGGAGATCAGCAATGTCTCACAAGAGCAGGGATACCCTAATGGCCATGACTGTGAGGATGGTGGCAAAAGGCTCTTTATTATCTGGTGGGGCTCAGGTCATTATGAACCCTCAGAAGGTCAATCTGTGAATCACTGATGTTACATCAGTCTGACATCATTGACAGTGACTTAGCTATCGAGTGTGCAGGCGGTGCAATTGCATCGCGGTCTATGAGCCAGAGGGCACAGGCGCTGAGCTACATGGATGTTGGACTGGGGGGACCGCATGTCATTCCTTATCATTCATTGCACCAGGGCCCATGCCAACTAGGCACGATACGCCACTGATCAGTGACCCGTCATCTATTGTGTCATTCACTGGGCTGTTTTTCACGGAGTTGATGGTCCAATTCCCGCTGTCGTCTTCCTATACTAATTTATAGGGGGGTAAGGGGGCAGGTGGTGGGGTGTACAGAGAGGGCTGCATTTGCTGTAGAGTCGACGCAACGGACAAAAGGGACATCAACTCGGTACCTAAAGCGTGGTTTGTTTTCACGAGGCGTTATCAACGCGTTACGCATTAGTTTGGCCACGTGAGAGAGTTTACAGCAGTAACGCCGTGGGTGATGCGCCGCCAGCGATTACCAAAGGGCATATCTGCAGCAGATTACACGAAAGCCGTGGCTTGTAGCGCCAGGCGGATTAATCTATCGCCCAGGGCGAGACAACGCGAGGTTGAACAGCTCCGACATTCGGAATGCTGCTGGAGGCTGGGGAAACACACGCGTGGACACGCGCCTACACACACACACACGCGTCGGCCCACCCTGGAGCGTCGCCTTGCTTGAAAGGGGGGAAGGGGAAATACGAGAACTAAAGGAAGGCCACGACAGTCGATTGAAATATATATATAACTTTAAGCAAATGTTAAATGCTAAACGAAATTAGTAACGATATTATCTGCATGTGTCTCGAATGCATTCTGCTCTCGCTTGACTTTCGGAATTGAATGGGGAGCTGAGCCTTCAGCAGCAGGGGAGGGATCAATCTCCCTTCAGCAGTAAAGGGGTTGATCGGGGTGCTCCTGTAACGCAGGAGTTCAGACAACGCGAGATTAAAAAGCACAACGTGTGGGATCCGTCGAAATGCAGGGGAGACGCTCTTGAATACGCACACACGCCTATGGCCAGGGCTTCATCTCTCACTGGATATTTTCAGGAACGCAGCTGCTATAGGCTGGTTTGAAGTATGAATTACCGGCATAAGACACTACCACTAAGAGGACTGTGATAGGTACGCCTATCCATAATTAACTAGATACTGTTGTATCCAATACTCGAAAAGATTAATCGTGTATATTATATATTTCCTATATAATCTAATGAACAGGTTAAATGGACAAGATAAGGCGAAATGGATGTTGCATGCCAAAAATAAATTCCGGAACAGCGTTTCGGAATGTTCGGGCTTTAATTAAACACTGCCGCTAGCACGGAGGTAACACGTGTTTTTGAAAATCGTGCATTTAGCCCGCAGGCGCTCTTTAAAAGACCCCACTGCAAACACGAGCACGTGGAGAGCACGTGGCTACGGGGGGGGGGGGGGAGACTCACGGTCCCGGGCCGGACCCTTTAATGATTGCATGCAGTGGGGCCCCGCTCATTGATTGGTGGCAGTGGTGTTGACGCTCCGTTGGTTTTGATGAGGATTAACAAAGCGGAGCTGCCTGCTCATTGAATGCGCATCCATTTTCAAGAACATTGGCATGCACCTCGAAACATGCCCGCGAACCGTGGCCCCGGGGGCAATCAATAGTTATTAGAAGGCTCATCAAAGCGACGGTTATGGGGCCATAAGTCCGCCGGGCTAATGCCTGGCAAGTGGTTATGCAAGTACATGCTCGGTCGCGATCATTGCTGGAGAAATAATGCATCTGTATTTATTGGGGGGGGGGGGGGGGGGTACTCAACACATTCGTCAAAAGCCCTGCCTCTGATAGGAATAGTGTATATGTGTACAAGCGACGTTTCGGGAAATGGTCATTTATAGCAGAAGGGTGATTGCCCGAAACGTCCAATGTGTTGAGTTTTTTGTTGGAGGGTATTTGTACTTCTGTTACACTGTCCAACGCAGTATTACACAGGAAATATATATTACGGGAGTGTGTGGGTGGGGCGATTTTCTGAAACTATACATTTAATGCGCAGGTTAAACAAATACATCCGACTGTTAAGATGAGTATATGTGTGGCTTGAGCAGGACAGGTTCAGACGAGAAGGTATGATGGTCAGTGGTCAGGAATAATGAGCCAAAGAAGAGAACGCGTACGAGAGGACCGCCCATCAGAGAGATGGAGCGATCGAATCAGCTCGTGTGCAGGTCCTAGGTGGATTGTTGCATCACAGGATCGTAACATATGGCGATGGTCTGGAGAGGCCTTCATCCAGCAGTGGATCGAACACGGCTGTTGCTCATGATTTATTTATGACCCGAGATTGTTCTTACGTGGTAGCTGCATAATCGAAGGTTGTATCCACTCTCGTGGTGCCCTTACAATCTACAAAACCCCTCTCAAATCTACAACTTTTCAAATCTCAAACCTTATTGGTCACCCCGTGCCCTTATAAATCTCAACGTTCATCCTATAAAGTCCGATCACAAGGGAGAAACACAAACAGACAAAACATGTTTGCCCGTATTGAAACGGCTGTACGCCGTATGAACCTGAAAACTAAATTTCCCTGTACAAGAATACGGGTAAACCGTATGGGTTGACGGGTATGGCATATAATCATCATCAACATCATCATCGCCGTCAATCACCATCATCACCACACGATTGCACGAACCGGCAATGCGACGATATGAAAGACGACTCAGACACTGCAATGTCTCCACCTGGTGTATAAAAACAGAACTACATTTACTCCGGAGCTCTCGTCACAGGAATGAATCCTTATTGTACATGAATGCATTTCCATTGCAGGTGTTGCCCTGCGGAGAAAAGTGAGAGTGAGTGCTATCAGATCTGGTCGTGACCCCCTCCTTCACCAACTCGCATTGACCAGCATGGTGAATTATGGTCAATGGACAAGTTTAATGGCTTGCTTCAAATGCTCATTATCACCACCCAAAATAATAATTTAGCGTGATTGTGGAGAATATAAATAATATAAACAGATTATCCTTCATATATCTGTCTCTCCACATAAAAAAACATTTTGACACAACCCATCGGCCCTACGACCTTCTGGGAATACATCATTCCAGCAGCATTGACTCAGTAACAAGCAAACTCTGGATCAATGAACACAGTGTTTCACCATCAGGCAGGCTTGCTGAACCAATGCTGTTGAGTATTGTTTTATAGGCAAGGACCGGTTTCCGCAGTATCTCATTAACAGTCAGGCTTGTTTGAACCAATGCTGGTTGAACCGCCAGATGTTAAAGGTCAGAAATCAGCTGGGCAATTCACCAGCATTTATTCAGGCAAGCTTGGCTCTGCTGATGAGACACTGTCAAAACCGGTCAGGCGTTTGCTTGTGTTGAATCAATGCTGCTGAAATTACGCAATCCCAGAAAGTCGTGGTGCCCCGATGGGTGTGCGTAAAGATAATGTGAAGGATGTCGATGTAGTAATAATCACCGCTCGTTGGGGCCGATGCTATGGACATCTGTATGCTGCTTTTGGTATTCAAAATCGCTGCAGGTGACGTTATTGCGACCAAGAACTCTCAATAAATAAGACTTCTACACCCCTTACTGCTCAGTCGGTATTGAAGGGAGGGCCTTTGTTATAATATAGAGCTCGCTAGTTGCCCGGGCATTGCACATTTTCTGCAGTGCAGTACGTCAATGTTAGACGCGCACATACATAACCCGCTCGATGCTGCCAAGAGTATGCAATACCCGCTGTCAACCCGTTGTTGGTGGCGGCTCTACCTGCACCGTGTGGGTTATGGGATTTATTTGAGCACACTTCATTACGTTGGAGAGTGCTGCGTGTTGAAGGCGAAGAATGTGTGGGAGCGTCCAAGTACAGTACTGCAATGCATTTGCTGCACTACACTCTTGCTTCCCACCACACAGTCCTGTTGCCCTATGCCAGCCAATCCGTACATGGCGGTCCTCCATCCAAGCACTTCTTTAGCGTCACATCTGCCGAGCTCACAAGACCGGCTGCGTTCCGGGTAATGCCGTTATAGGTGCGCCACAAAAAAAGCAAGTGTAGGTGATTAATAACACATCAACTTACAAATGTTAATGGTCGCCTAGTTTCTTTGTACCCGCTGTGTGTAGACTTGTGTGACATTGATTTCATCCCCGTGGGATATTCTTTCTTCCGATAAAAAAAAATCGGCGTTTCGTAGAAATCGATTGCAGCGACGTTCGCGGCACATGGGAGATACCGCACGATCTGAAATACTTTCTGTGGCCCAGGGGCAATTAAAAAGGTGCCAATAAGCAACGTGAAACATAACAAAACAGAAGCGAGACATTTCTTGTGAAAATACTCAGAACAAATCAATTCCCCTTAAAAGCTTTGGATAAAAAAAAAACTAAAAACGCAGATACAATTGAAATTTACAAACTGTTAAATGTTAGGAAACGTTGTACACAACGATACACGAAACAACTTAACGGTAAATTATTTCAAAAGGCCACAATGTTTAACTGATTTAATTTTATTGTATTTTGTGCATGAATCAATATTCTGTTTACAAAGATGATTGACATACAAAAAGTTCACAGTATCTTTATACTGTTCGATAACAAAATAAAATTAACACATTCATTACATGATTACAATAAGAAATAAAAACGGTTCTATTCCAATTACATTACATCACAGTCACATTCTCTAATGGTATAATCAGCATCTGTTGAACATCACTAAGTCATGTTTTGTGTTGTTTAAAACGCCGTTTCCAATTACATTGCTTAACACGTTATTCCTGTGAGCCGGCAGTATTAAAACCGTGGCAGCATACACTAATTACAGGGTGCAATGGCAAGTAGTGCTTTACATGGGTTAAAAATGCTCAAAGTACTTTGCAAACACCCCTGCACTGATAGCCTTTAGGTACAGCTTAAACAGGGTGTGTTTACTTAGCAATAATAAGACATCCGTATGATACACTGATTGTAAGGAGGCTTAATCAACCTGTTTCAAGAATTTTTGTAACACTAATTTCTGCGTGGGGAAACTACAGAAATGCATGAAATGCAAATAGATGAATACATTACTGCACGAGTCTATCTGCAGCAATAATACGTCAAAGCATTAAACGGCTGTTTGAATACTGTACTGCAAATACGTAAAAAAATTAAAAAGCCATTTTGGCATATATTATGTACCTATTCTGGTACAATGCTATTAGTATATATTATTCAAGGTGTCTCAATAATAATAATCACGTTGTGTTTGAGGCACAACCAGTTGTTTTCACTCCTCAAATGGTCAAACCATTTTTTTGGGAAATCCTATGACAAAGGCCTAAGTTGTATGCGCTAACAGTACAGCAAAGTACAAAGTGCCTGCAAAATCATCTAATTAAGTTTACGTAACCTAAAAAAATATTTTTCTTAAATACGATGAAGTATGATATAAATGTAACATAACATGTGTCCAGGTCATGAACACAAATAATAACATATGGTAAGTGCTACTGAATAAACAACAGCAAATATTTCCTATGCAAAGTAGAAGAAAATTAATTCATTTTAAGTAGCAGCAGTATACGAACATGATCTTTTATTTAAAAAAAAGCCTGTAACCCTTATCGCTGCCAGATGGCAAAACACCATGGACCATGAATAAATTACAGCTTTATTTGGAGATTCAGGCTCAATGGACTAGGGATAATAAAAGTTGGGTTCATAATATTGCATAAAAAGGAATGTATATGAATCCTCTTTAACAAACGTGGCAATTTTTGTGTCTCTAAACAAACCTTCCTTAAAAAGAACGCAACCATACGACCCGAGGCCACTCTGACACTGGTGGAGTGACGGCGCGTCACAGATTTGCCGCAATGTGCACGTCCATGTTGATCTTCTCGACGGCAAGCTGGCACCGCTCGCGGTGTGCTTTCAGCATGTTGGAGAAGCGAAAGCGCTGCCCGCAGGCGTCGCACGAGTACGGCTTCTCCCCGGTGTGTGTGCGCCGATGCCGCTTCATGTTGGGCCGGCTCGTGAAACTCTTGCCGCACACCTCACAGATGTAGGGCTTCTCTCCTGTGGAGGACAGGAGAAAGGTTTGCATTTGGAATTAGCCACTAGAGCGTAGGATGTTGCCATTGTGCTGTCCTCTAGCTCTCTTTGTGTTTAGTTGCTGCAGAATATGCCAGGGTGTGGAGTGAAACATTGGAAGCCACCCAAAACAACACGCAGTACAAGCTGAAAACACATTGTTGATCCACAAAATAATTAGGTCCTCCCAAGATGTGGACCCGACAAGCTAGTCCCCCTTTTCAAAGTCGACTGTGATGGCTTGGTTGCTGTCCTCGGGTTATGGCTTCCCCCACCCCGACTAAGCTCCCCTACCTCTCCTTTTTTCCTCCATGTTTGACACTTTCTACCTGTTAAACCGAGCAAGTGGTGATGCACTGCAATACTGGTTTGGTCATTGAGGATAGAACTCAGTCTATTTGATCCTTGATGGAAATTTTAATTTGAAAGTAAAAAAAAACAGTTAATGAAGGACAAAAAGAAAGCAGCTGCAGATACTGAAACCACAATGTTGCATATCAATGGCTTATTTTGTTAACGGAGTACTGACCATCTATTTGTGTGCAGTTAAAACATTTCCATCACATTTTTTACAGAAAAGCAACATGCTATTACCAAATCACTTGGAATGCACATGATTTCGTCAGATCTCATCCGATCTCATAAGCCAATCAGTGCAGAGACTGAATATTGCTTGGATTGGCAAACATCTTACATAAACAGGTGCCACAGCCTGCGGAGCTATGTTTAGAGCAGCAGAGGGTAGCGCAGCGATATCCCTTGTTTAACCGTACATATCTGTACCTCTCCACTTTCACAAACCCATACTGACCAGTGTAGTGAAGTATGCCAAAAGAACACACCACGACTTTCACGGCATGGGGGAGGCTTTCATCCAGCACTTACATTGACAAAAGAACTGTACACGTACATGTGGTTAATGCACACTCCGAAACCTACCAGTGTGTACTTTTAAGTGCTCGTCAAAATACTGCTTCATGCTGAAATCCTTTCCACACCATTGGCACATAAACTCCTTGTGGCCTAGGTGCACGCTCATGTGGTTTCTCAGCTGGTATCGGTACATGAAGCACTCCGTACAGCTCTCAAACTGCATGGGTGGAAATGCACGAGGGAAAGAGAAGCACAGAAAACATTCACAAAAACACAAGCAAAGCAGAAACCATTCACACCAACTGTACGTGCAATTATAAAACACATCGTATAATGTTATTCCACTCGAGGTACACATACATACCTTACACTTGTACGGTCTGAGCCCAGTATGCTTCATGCTGTGAACTTTAAGAGACATGCTGCGCTTGAAAGATTTTCCGCATGTCTCACATGTGTACGGCATATCCTCACGGTGCGCTAAACAATACATTGAAAACAACTTTAACAACGGCTGCACACCCACAGACAAAGGCATTACAGAAGAACCTCATTACAACAAAGCTGGCACATTGAAGTTTCTACATTCAGCCAAACCAAAAGTCTAATTTAACTCTTTCAAATAGCGTCTTAATTTAAATGATTAAAAATGTAAAGGTTACTTAGGGTTTTTTGTTATAAGAAGGTTCTACTGTAATTAAGATTGTACATTTTCATACACAAAATCAACACAATACACCATTGCACAACAAAAGTTAAACATTCGTTCCGACTCCAATGCCGGATTCATTCACAATTTCTAAGTTAATCCATACTCACCAACCAAGTGTTTTTTAACTTGAGCCACAGTGTAAAACTTTTTACCACAGATATCACAGGCCACACTCCTCTCTGTGAGACTGTGCACTGTCTTAATGTGTTGCTGAAGGTACCAGAGTTTCTTAAATTGCTTCTCACATGTGACACACTGAAACAAACCACAGGCAAAGGTAAATTATGCATAATATGTTTACATTATTCAAGCCCAATTCTGATAAACGTATAATTTATAGAGTATATTCTTTTTAAACGTGGCCAATATATTTTCATAATTCTCACCTGAATGCTCTTCTCACAGTCCGTTTGCTGATGGAGCCGCAACTCCTCTTCCTTCACGAACCTCTTTTCGCACCTCTCACACACGTGGCTTCTCTTGTGGCTCACAGTCAGGTGCTTCTGTAAGTAGATCTTGTTATTGAAGACCCGCTTGCACTTGCTGCAAGGGAAGCGTTCCTTTTCTTCAATCTTCTTCACCTTCCGAGGTGTCACGGGGGGCCTCTTCCTCTTGCCTCTCCTCCGCACGTCCTTGGAGGTGAGAGGAGGGCGACCGCGGCGGGGTCGGTGTTTCTTTTCATCTTCGCTGCCCAGTTCCTCCTGCTTGATTTCCTCATTTAACTCTTCCTTCACCTCTTTCTTTACTTTCTTCCGCTTGCCTTTAGATCTGCTTGTGATTATATCTCCGGAGCCCTGTGAGACATGTAGAGTCTGGTTATTTAGATTCAACTCCACAATGATCTGCTTGTCATCTGGATGCAGATAGGACCTGGTGCTGCGACGCAATCCATAGTCAAAGTTCTGCTCATCATCGTCCTCCTCCTCCTCGTCATCATCTTCATCATCCCCGCCGCTCTCCCAGTCTCTGTCGCTGTCAGAGTTTTTTGCTTTGGTCGACGCGTCCGAATCGGAGTCTTCTGCATCGCCATGGTAAATGATGTCGTTGTCTTCATGGGGCTGCGCATGCTGCCCCTCCGCGGACTGCCCCGGGTTGGTCAGGCCCTCCGCGCTGGCCATGTTGGAGTCCGCCACATCAAAGGCCCGCGTATTGAGCAGCTTCTGGCAGGACTCTGCAAGCTGGTCGAGGTGCAAGGCGCGTGCTGTGCTCATCACATCCTGCACGTTGCCTTTGGCGACGTGCACTTTGGCCGTGTAGATGAAGCCCAGCACGTGCTGGAAGCCGCGCGCCGACAATTCTTGCAGGCGCAGTTCCAGGCGCTGGCGGCCACGACCGACGGACGGCTTGAGGCCCTCGGTCGCAAAGAGGCCGCCGAAGAAACGGCTCCCTGCAGCCAGCACGCCCCGGTGAGCGGGGAACTTGTGCTGCCGCTGCTTCTGTTTGTTCTTGTGCTTGTGTCCAGCGCCGGTGCCCTCCACCACAACCACGTCCACGTCGCACAGGTGTGGCTGCTGCAGGCGCTGCTCGTTCAGCTGCTGCGTGAGCCGCGCCGCGTGCTGCTCCACATCCTCTCGCAGCGTGTACTCTGGCACCGGCAGATCTTCCACCCTCTCTGCCTTCAGGGTCTGATTCTCCAGTTTAATCTGAACAACAATAGCATCAGCTTTTCGATCGTACCAACATAATGGAAACTAAAAAGGGTACATTTCTACAGATGTAAAATAAGAGGATTTTTTGTTTTATGAAAGAATGGAAAAATTGGTGATATGTAGTGACAGACTTGCTTAGGAAAAAATAAGGTCCAAGTTTATGGAAGGTTGAAATGATTTGTTTGCAATATGTAAACTTGGCACTGACAGAGCCAGTGTTTTACCTATATTAAATGTTACAATTCGCTCCCCATGTCCTGGGCAGCCTCTACAGCAGTTGTGCTTCATGTCATAGTTGTGGTTCTTCTCACGCAATGGAAATAAAACAAACAAAAAACAGCAAATGAAAATAAAACACCACAACAGAATAAATGCACAATGATAAAAAAAACACAATGGTTAAAAAAAATCACGAAAAATGCTTCAAATGAAGATGTAATTTATGAATATAAAACACAATATCCATGTAGGGTCTCTCTCTGTCAATCCACTGCTGGATGAGCGCCTCCCCACTACAGGCGGGTCGTGGTAGGGGGGGTTACGTGACCACGATAGTCAGTGCGCATCGGTGAAGGCGGGTTAGCATCGGCGATGGAGCACAAGTACAACACAATGGGATTTTTCTGCACTGCCCTCTGCTGCTCACAACGAAAGGCCACCAGATGCTTACAGCACTTTATTTATGCATTGGTGGTCGCCCATCCATCCAGGCATCACGATCCACGTTCATTCTGAGATCTGACGCATTCGGGACGATTTGGCCACATGCACACGCACAAACCACGAAGAAAATTCAACGTGTCGTCGAGGAATCCATATACACCTTCACCTGCCCGAGTTAAAAAAAAAATCTGAATGTCACAGGTATAAGGACTTCCCGCCCCACCGTGCACGCACACATACTTTTTACACATATATCTACCCATCAAGCAAATGTGACATTTCATTGCCATGTTTAGTGAACACATTTTAAACGAGGGTCACACATCAGAGGCGACGGAGAAAAGCCGCGAGAATAACGCGAACGCAGCGGATCAGCATGGGGTCCTCGCAGTGCCGTCACACAAAAACGTTATCTCCAATGCCAGCCTAGCTCCTCCTGTACGGGGAAGGCAAGCGCACACATCCCAAACAAGATGCGAGACCCCGAGCGAATGAAACCCCGGTGTGTCGTCGTGGCCGCGCTGCTGATTATTAATCGAGCAAGCCACATAAAGACGAGGCCGCCTCGCTCCTACCGCACCGGGGGTAGGTGCGGGCGGGCAGGGGGGTGGGGAGCGCAGGTACACGGCCAAGAAATCAGGCAACAGTCGGGGGGCCCGAGCGCGACCAGGCCTCACGCCCAACAACAGCGCGCGGATTAAAGCCATCAGTTGCAACGGCGTGTTACCATCTTCACGGCGCTCCCGCAGTCCCCGCTAAGCGTGCAAAGCAGCGAGCGGCGAGGGTTCGTTGTTGCGCTTGAATGGGGCGCCGACGAGGCGAGTAATCTGTGAGAAAGGCGAGAAGAGAGAAATCTCCCGGTGCGGGGAGCCCAGCTCAGAGCGAGCGCGGGGGCCCCGGCACAGGGATGCGCGACTCGCGGGGGCGTCTGCGTGATGTACAAGACGGCTCACTTTTGTTGCTCTCAGCAATCGGCATCAACGTGTTTTGTCAAATATCAGCCATGGTCACTCCACTGCTCGTCGTGGGACAAGATGAGTCACTTGACACCAGCAACAGCAGCAGCAAACGTTATCGCCATCGTCGGTTCCAAGGTCAATCCAGGTCGTGCGAGTTATTAGATCGTTACTTTTGACCACGATGGCCGGATGGTCAGTGCAGGGACCCACCACCCCAACCCCTTCTGGAAAGGTCTCGAAGACACTGAAGCTATCCTGGGTCATAATAAAAAGAGCATTAAACAGTTAAAACAACGTGGCCCCAGTAAACAAAAGCCAGCGTGGGATTGGAACCGTTGGACCAACGTTGGCCCAACGTCCTGTGTTTACTCGGGTCCTCATCAGCTGATGAGACAGTCTTGGGTGGGAGTCTCTCCATAGGACAACCGCTGTTGACTACCCCACGAAGTGGTACTAGATTTATCGACTCCGGAGGGATGATGCGCTCGCTGACTCGCACAATCCTTTTGGCTACCTCGCCGGTTGTATTATTATGAAACCATCCAGCCACTCTCACTAATGTATTTAATTGAAAGTAGGCTATTTAATTCCACTCGGAGGATTAAAATAGCTTTCTATTTTTGTCATTAATACATTTTATAATGGACTTATCAACATGGCCTGGTCTTAAGGGATTTTTTTTTACATCTGATCAGCGGATGTTATTTTTGGGGTTCCAAAAAATGGCCCAGTCAAGACTAGGTCAGGTATTTTTACATCCGAAATGCGTGAAAAAAAGATCACTCGGTAATTGAGAAATGTATTCTATTACTGTCAACCCGTACGGGTTACCCGTATTCTTATAAAGGGACATTGAGTTTTCAGGTCCAAACGGCGTACAGCCGTTTCAATACGGGCAAAAAAAGTGTCTTTGTGTTTCTCTCTTATGATGGGACTTTGTAGGATGAACGTTAATATTTATAAGGCTACGGGGGTGACCAATAAGGTCTGAATTGGTCTGTAATAAGTTAGCCACTGATAAGGGGTTGACAGGTGTGTTGCAGAGTGCACAATAAGCCACTGGTGTTTGCCTTAAAATGAGTGTGCTGCATGCACCCAAAATTGTCTTTACACAGACTATGAGCAATCAGGTCAGATTTGCATCCTAACATGGAGGAATTCGTGTGCATCTATACCAGTTAATGCCTATAAAAATTAGTCACGGTGGGTTGACTTTCAGAATACCAAGATCGTGTCCTTTATTGTCTTAGCAGTGGGCGTAACTACATTATCAGCTCAAGGGGTGCGGCAATCGGTCCAGTAGGGCCCCAATATTTGATTTGCCTGGCACGGTCTCGAACATTTAGCGTTTTCACAAAATACGTTTTCACAAAATACAGCCATTACAGCTCCGTTCGTACCTCTTTGCAATATTACGTTACTGCTCTAATTAAATACAAATGTCGAACATAACTAAGAGCAGTTTCATACAAGTAAATGTAAACCGCATTTTTAAGTAAGATTCTGTTCTTTTACACTGTTGAAAACATGTTATGGTGGTTGTGAAGGGGGCCCCCAACTCGTAGCTTTGACCACCAGGGGGGGGGCCTTGCCCCCAACGCTTGTCACACTTCGACACCCTGTAAACTTGACAAAGCAACGCAGTTGGCGTGGACTCTCCCCCACCACCTCTTCATAGCCCAGGACATGACCCCACCACACCCTGTGGGTTTGCAGCCGTACAGCCTGCACTCTATAGCTCTGCATCACAGGTTAACAAGGCGCATTTGGAACTTCCTTTGCCTGCGGCCACAGTTTATCCGTGCGTCCCAGCGCATCTTGCCGCTTGCACGGTGCTGCATTCAGGTTGGCGGGGTTGTCGGGGATGGCCGTGGCCGGGTTGAGTGCGCGCTTTCTTCAGGGATGCAGGAGAGTGCAGCAGGAGAGTGCAGCAGACGAGGTGCCGGCACCGCCATCTTGTGAGCTGCACGTGTCCAGACGGCAGACTGTCGATGCACGGCCCACGTGGAGGGCCCCCCCCCCATGGACAAAGCCGTCTCCCCACCCCCCTTTAATGACGTCCACCCACACCCCCCACCGCTGATGGTGCAGTCCATGCGGTAGGGGGGGGGACTCCTGCCACACAGCGCCTTTACGTCACTGCGGGGCATGACAATAACAATTCCCGGCGGCGTTGTCGTCAATTGTTCTGCATGCAATGTGCTACCCACCCACCCCCCACGCCAAACTCAGTGGGAGTGTGGTTAATTTTTGTTCGATGTTCAAGGTGAACTGGTGGCACACGGTGGACCTCACTGCAAATGTATCGCTTAAAAGTGCTAAAAATACAGTACATTGACCAAACGTAAGTTATCATAAAACAGTATCAAGGATTTGACCTTTTTACCCCCGGAATTGAAGGCGTTTTTTATTTTTACTAGAATATTTTTACTAGAATATTAAAAAGAAAAAACTCATCTTCAATGTCATTTAACGTAAAGCCCCTTCGATACACATATTTGTGTGAATAAGGCTAGATCAAAGTAGCCCTTGACAAAACTCCATTAATTCCTAAGCACACCATCACATAAAGTATTACTCTTACAACATGGTCATAGATTCACATGTAAATAAACATCAGTGTGCTGCAAGGAATGAATCCAAACCAAGATAGGAATCGGTGATTTAAGTAATTGTTTTTGTTTCTGAAACCAACTACATACATGCAGGTTACACCTACATTATTGTACAAGTCATATTTTATTATTGTACAAGTGGCATGTTGGGAGGTAGTGGTGAGATTCTAGAAAATATTCCATATTGGCTGGCATTGCTTAGTCACCATCCTTATAAAACAATGTTAATTGCCACCGTACTTGTTTCTTCAATATAAGATTATGCTTTCAAAAGATGTCAGTTAAGATTTTTTTTTTTATTACATATCTATATTGAATATATATGCAGTGTAGCTGTGTTTATGGACCCTTAAATCTTTTTTAAAAAGCTATTTGCCAATTTGCATACACGTCACAAAACACAAGCACATCCCACTGCACTGTACCAATCTTTAATGGGAAACAATTTAGAGTAATAAAAAAAGAATGTGCAGTTATTTAACAATGCCAACAAGACCATCAACCATTCTCATAAGACTCTTACCCCTATCGTGCTCCGGCCCAATGCTTGCAATTGCTCATGAGATGCACTGTTCATACATGGCAACATCTCATTTGTTGCACATTAGATTTGCAAAATGTAAATAACTATACCAAGGCAGTGAATAATCACACTGAATATTTAATGCAAGCTAAGGGGCTGTTTAAACAAAATGTACATGTTTACTGGATCTCAAGGTGGTAAAGCTATGGAAGGGTCAGCCATAAATCTCAGTATTAGCAAATGGTAACTGCAGATAATCCCTGATGTATCACAGAATCTAGAGGCATTTTGTCCGATGTCAGAGTAAAGAACTAAAATAGCTCTGCAAGATGTAATTTTTATATTTTGGTTCAACAAAACAAGTTTATGGTTATGGAAATAACATCAGCAAGACTCAATGCAATCATCAGATTTCAAAATGGAACAGGTTGACCAGATAACATTAAGCGCTCTTTGAAAAAAAACTGTATTGTCACAGTCGCTTTACTGTGCTGGGAGCTGGAGCAGCGTGTGCTGCCCCGAGGGCAGGTAGGCTACACCTCGGGACTTCGACAGCTGCATGGCGATATCTTCTGCCGCCTCCAGCTTGCGCAGCTCAACCAGGCCCTCTCCAGCCTCGGATATCGCTGTTGCGATCAGCTGTGCAGCCTTGGCATCACCCTCTGCTGCAATGATGGCGGCCTTCTTTTGCTGCTCTGCCTGAGAGGGGTCATAATGCACCAGTTAACAGCTGTACCAATGAGCGAGTCAATTTCAGTATCTGGGAAGTTATGCTGAAGATGGCAGACCCTGGAAGGAGATTCGAGTCAGGATTGCCTTGGGGAAAAGTGGGATTAGGCAACAGAGGATACTGCCGATAAGAAGAATGAGCAAAGTTAAAGAAACTCGGGGACAGCCTGTTATGGAATAGAGTTGAGTGTAACAGAAACTTGGACTCTAAGAAAGTAATACAGAAAACTTGGAAAAGATTGATGTGGTGTCAAATGGAAGCAACAAATCGTCATAAAAAAGGTTCTTAAGCAGATTCAGGAGGACTTGTCTAATTATACCAGAAAAGGTTAAATGTGGATTGGGTACATTCTCAAAGATGGAACCTTGATGAACAAAGTTCTGGAAGGGTTAGCTGCTTAATCAACTGAAGGCAGGGGGGATTTCCAATGAATTAAGCCTCAAGAGCAGACAAATAATAAATCAGAGCCCAGAGGAGTATTATACAACGGTTACACATTATTTCAGTGTTCAGACATTTAGCCAACATCAGTTGTTTGGCTGATTAAACCACTGAGGATTTTAAATACCACAATTGTAAACGTGTCAATGAAACTAAAAAAACTCACCCTTTCCACGACGAAGCGTGCTCTCTCCGCCTCCTGCTGTGCGACTTGCTTGGCCTCAACAGCCTGTGTGAACTCTCTACCAAAGGTCAGATGAGTCTGTAGACAGAAGCACAAGTCAGTGAGATCTCCAAAACCATAATCAAAGGATACATGCAAAATAAATGTAAGTGAAAGTGCGGGTGCTTTTTTAAAAATTCCAGTGAATGACATACCAAGGAGACATCATCCAAGATGAGCCCAAATGTGGCTGCTCTCTCCATCAAGTCATTGCTGACCTGCCTGGACACCAGCTCTCGTTGGGTGATCAGCTCCCCAGCATCAAACCGAGCCTATAATATAACGTGTGAACATATGCCCAGTCTTTGAAATATTCAACAAAATTCAATAAAGCTACTTTCAAACAGCAGCAGCTAATGGATACCACATGGTCTAGAAGCGGTCAAGGTAAGAAACTTACCACAACGGCCTTGAGGACCTCGGTGGTGATCGAGGGCAGCACACGTTCATCATAGTCCTCGCCAATGCTCATGTAGATTTTGGGCAGCTGGCTAGCGATGGGCCTGAACAAGATCCTCAACGTGATGTTGACATTCTGCATATCTGAAAAGGCCAAACAAAGCTGCGTGAAATTACTGAAAATAAACTCCATTCATATGTTTTTTAAGTGTTCCATATCACATGGATGTCATGCCTAACCAAGAATAAGAGCAAAGCACCATGGCACATCATGAAACGTGTGTTGATGGGTATATTCTATTCGGGATCCGTTGAACAATTCCACTTACCTTTTTTTAGATCAGTGACTCAAGAGTCAAAATTGTGGCCATATTCTTTTATACTACAGCAAGATGATAAACGTATACCAGTGCCATCCTTGTTAGAAATCTTGAGTACAGTAGAGCCAACATTTCCTACTGCTTATTGTGCCTCAAGGGCTTTTGTGGACTATACGGATGATTTATAACTATAGTGAAACCAATATACATGTCTAAAAGAACATAGCCACATTGTCTCTTCGAGTTGGTGGTTTAAAACGGCTGTGTGCATTATACACGCAGTATTACAATGTCATGTGACATGCAAGGCATGATGGGGGGACTGTTGCTATTGTCACAATCATGCCTTTGGTGGTCTAAAATAGCATTGTGTATTATTAATTGTTTTTGTTCATAACCTGCACTCAGGTTGTAAACAAATGGGGTTCATTATTTGAAGTTTAGAAACGGTCCACTCACCTTTGCTCCCAGTCACGACAGGCACATTGCGAGGTCGAGAACGGCAGTCAAATATGATCGGCCGCTGAACCCAGGGGATGACAAAGTGAGTGCCTTCGCCGACCACCAAATCTTGCACTCCACGGAATCGGTCGAAAATTACCGCACGATGACCTCCCTCCACTGTCAGAAAGGCAAGAAAACCAAAATACATTCATTCAAATGAATGCAATTCCAGTCAGCATACTTTTGTTATACATCGTTCTCGGTACCTCTGTGCAAATCGCTGCAGTCTGTTCTCATTGCAACCCATCACTGAACACATCTTCTCCAAATAGGCTTGAAGGACAGCAAGTAGTACCACCACCGCAGGAGGCACAAAAGTAACAATGCATCCCATCCAGAAGGCGAATTCTCATTGCCACCTCCCCTAATCTAATTTGAAATTATAGAGTGCCTGAATCCAACTATCTTGAGACACTGTAAAGATATAGGGGAATATTAATTTGATGTAGAGAGGAAGCCTGACAGGTAAAGGGGACAAAAAGAGTTTGAGCTAAGACTTAATATGGGCAGGGAGTGAATATTATTGGAGAATGAGCGACCTACCACTGGCAGCTGTCACAGGCAGCACATAAAACTGTAACTAAATAGGGGTTGTGCAGAGGAAAATAGTCACTCAAAACACAATAGCAACAGGTGACTAAGGATGGATGGGTCTTCGAGAACCATGATCATCACTTTATCATGCATTCACAAGCAAGACACATAAAATACTGGGATTACAATTACGATTGACACAATAACTGAACCACGGTCTGCCATCACCCAAACTCCAATATCTTCGTCACTAAACCACCAGCGCAGGAAGGTGACAAGTCTAATTTACATGGCACACAAAAGACACCAGGCCAATAAAGGATGGCAGGATATGAAATAGGTCAAATATATGAGCACATATCTATACATGTACAGCCATTTTGAAAATCCAATGTTGGATGAGGGCTTCCCCAAGCCATGCAGGTCTTGGAAAATTTGACCATACCTCACCTCATCGGATGGTGTGGGATTTTGAAGGGGAGCACTATCATTGGGGAACAGTGAAGTGCAGCATAACAATGTTTTTTTCTGCAGTCCTCTGCTGCCTACCACATAACCCCGCGGTAGCCTACAATGACCGAGTGTGCATGCTATTCAAGGACTATCCAGGCTCAACTTTGCAAAGCTAACGAGATCTTACGATAGGCTCAAAGGCTTACCATCACTATTGTGTTTATACTCCCTATATGCTGATGAACCCTAGGGGTGAAACCTGTGCGAGTTGTGTTGCCGTCACAAACACATGATCACAATGCTGGACAAAATAAACCTGACCCTCAAAGCAGGCACGTGTAGTCCACATGCCTCGGCCAGATGTGTTACTTCTTCAGAATTGTTGAAAGCCCGAGGTGGTTATTGAGTGCTAAAACGAGTTATTAGCACGGCTTGCTATGTACGGTGCGAAAGAAGTTCAACATACATACAGGGCACGGGGGTTTAAAAAGGGATGGTGGCCGGTGGTCGAGACGATGACGAAGTCGCAACCAGGGGGAACATTCCCGACTAGACGTCAACCACGGAGATGGAGAGATTAAACCAGCTCATTAGCAGGAGCTAAATGGATTGTTGCATTACAAGACCATGAAATGGCGGCCGATTGGGGAGTCGGTAATGATGATAGCGGTTGACAATGCCTGTAAGTAAATGGTAATACAAGTGAAACATGTAATGTACAAGAATAACCTTGGTTTCAACTTAGCGAAGTCATCACAATCACTGCCATCCTTGTACAGTACTAGCCAGGGTGATATGACGCACACGTGTGGGAGCCCAGCGCTTTCAATTTCAGGGGTTGGTGGATCACGTAGAGACATCGGATAATTTCTAAACTCGCCACACCACAGCATAGCAACGTGAGTTCATGAACCGGTCTGTGCGGTCAAAGTCGTGGCTTCCGTGCCCACGTGTAACCTCGACCTGCCATAGATGTCATCAGCGCTCTATGTTTAACCTCCCGAGTTATAGCCTCAAAACGTTCCGCGTCTATGATAAAAAAAACACGTTGTTAGTCCTTCAGCATATTATCCAGCAACATTCGGGAAAGCAAGTAAACTCTGGAACTCGTTTCAACCTTCAGTCACACCGACAGCCTGACCTTGTAAAATAAATTTTGCCCAGTTTTCTCATGTTGATTTGAAGCTTTCGTGACTGCAGGAATCCATACTCTTTGGTTCTTTCGGTAAAGTCACGTAGATAAAAAAAATAATAGATCACGACGTTACGATCGCAACACAAGCGACCGTCATCAGGTGAGACAATTACAGCAGGAAAACTGCTGAAGCAAGCGAGAGAGCTGCAGTTTTATGAAGGTATTGGGACGGGCACTCTATATACACTACTGTACTGTATACGATGGGGCCCTGTTCGACGCAACTGATTGCAAGACTTTAACATGTGATCATCAGAACGATGGTGGTGGTTGTGATGTTATAATAATGTGTTGCAGAGCACGAGCTGAAAAACCTCAAAACGCAATAGACCGGCAACAAACGTAAAAACAAAAACGTTATGATAGTCTTGAATTGAGCAAGGTTATACGGACGTGGGCATAAAAAGAGGCGACAATGGGAGAGAATACCAGAGTTTCAGCAACGCGAAGAAGCAGAGTTCTGACCTGCAGCAGTGTGGTGATGTCTGGACACAGTGTGGATGAGACGAAACGACTGTCAAGTGTCAGGTGAGACTGTACGAACGAATCCTTGCCATGGGAGGAGGTGGAATAAATGGCGATGTTAGTGGTGGCAATGCTGCTCCCGCCGTTATATCATCTCCCTCTTTATACTTTTAAAATAAACCCCCCCCCCCCCACGTCCACCCGAAGGCTCCTCACCGTTGTACAGAGCCGTGTTGACGACTCCTCCGGCCACCGCCAGACCGAGGCCGACTTTCCCCACCGTGTTCAGGATCCTCGCCGCGGCCGCCATGCTCACAACGCGTGGTGCAAGAGAGGAGGGGAAGGTCACGGCGGGACCGCGCTGACGTCATCCTGTGTCGGAGCCGCGACGGAATTTGTGGATGACGATGACGTCATGTAACCGTTAATTATGACGGCCCGCCACCGGCCATCTTACGTAGGGAGCGATCGCACGTGGCAATTGAAACAAACAAAAAGGTATTCTTGGTTCTTTCGGTAAAGTCACGTAGAAGGGAAACAATAAAATAATAAAAATATAAACAATAAAAATTTCATTATTTTTTGTTTCCCTTCTACGTGACTTAACCGAAAGAACCAATATGAATCCCTGCAGTCACGAAAGCTTTAAATCAAAATTTAAACAAAAAGGTGTTCAATCATAGAACATGTTTCAAACGTGTGATGTTAATCAGGCCCCCTTGGTGTGAAGTGGAATCTCCAACTCCTATTATATCATACCTATCAACCCCTTATTAGTGCCTACCTTATTACAGACCAATTCAGACCTTATTGGTCACCCCGTGCCCTTATAAATGTCAACGTTCGTCCTTCAAAGTCATCACAAGAGAGAAACACAAACAAATGTTACAAAAATTTGCCCGTATTGAAACGGTTGTACGCATGGAATTCAATTTCCCTGTGCAAAAATACGGGTTGACAGGTATGTTATTTCTATGTCTCCCTGGCCTATTTATGAGATATGGGAACGGGCCCATTGCCCGAAACGTCGCAAATATTTTCATTTTTTTAAAACCACAGGAGTGTTTTTGAAGAACGTGTTGAAAGTTTTTCACTTGTGCTTGCGCACCATTGCCAACGCAGCAGCAGCAGCAGCATCACCAGATATTGTCTAAACATACGTAGGAGTTGGGGTTTTTTTTACCCACGGGTTGGGCTCAGCGTTGTGTTTGCGTTGCCCTCCCGAAGAACGCGGTTTAATGTTGCAGTGAAAGTACAGTTTTGATGACAGTTCTCTTGTTGACAGAGCCCCACGGTAACCCTTATGGAGATGGCCGTCTTGACCTCCTACTACTTGGAGTTAAATATTTTGGGTTCTAAACACAATCTTTGCATTACTCTCCTCGACCAATGGGAGTCTGCGGGTCCGGTTGTGGAAACAATCGACTGTGCGCATGAAGTGCGCTCCGACCACTTTGTTACTGAACCCCAGCCAATGTCATAACTTGTCTTCAAAATGACTCAGCATTTGCAGGCAAAGTAGCACTGTAGAGACATTTTTTTAAAGTTGTGTTTACTTTTATATTTCATTCAATTTGTATTAAAACCACAATGGAAACTCAAATTATTGTATTTTTTTACCAATACATTGCCACCCATTACATCTGGGGCCGTCCATAAATGACGTCACGCACCTGGGGTGGGGGGGGTGTCAGACATTTGTGACGATGTGTGACGAGGGGGGGGTTGAGTAATGTGACGTCACATCAAAATGCGCAACTTTAAATAAATATATACACGTTCTACTTAATTAAATAGACTTTTAATAAATGTTTCTCCTACAACATCAGAGTGCAGCGTCACATTAAATACGCACTACAATGACAATAGTTTAAAACGATTTTAAGCATGTTTCACTTTTTTGGGGGGCGCAGAGCTTTGTGACGTCATATTTGAGGGGGGTCTGACTTTTTGTGACGTTGTGTGACGAAGGGGGGGGGTCAAAAATCGTTCAAAATCGTGTGACGTCATTTATGGACGGCCCCTCACCCGTAATTGCATTGATTGCTATATACAGTACACACATATATAAACAAATCTAAACCCATATGTTAATTTGCTCCACTTCGGTTTTATGGGGGGAAAATTTGCAACTCCTAAAATCCGCATGTTGCTAGACAAAGTGCAAGTCAGCGCTTAGTCTAACTCACCACTCACATCCACTCTCACCACTCACATTCACTCTCACCACCCACAGACATTTACTACTCGTACTCAAAATTCACTCTTCCCCCATTTTGACAACGGCAAGATCCGTCTGTTTAGAGCACGCGCTGCCCTCCAGTTCTGTATTTGCGAAGTGCAGAAGCGCGTTTCATCCAGTAAGGTGGCGCTCCACCCATTCACTCATTACAAATAGCGGTCAGTAACGGGTGTTTGCCCAATGGTGTCGGTCAGGAGTCGTTCACCTGTGGCTCCGGAGCTGCCTGTTACTCTTTAAGGACTGCTTCATGACGCTATTTATTGAGGCCCGTCTCGTATTCACACGGCTCTTGACATAGAGTTGTTTATCGAATTCGAAAAAAATCGTTATTTTGGATGCTTACCCCTGGTATAAGTTGAACATATGACCGTTTTTCATATTGACAAATGTGTTGAACTAAACATAAAATATTTATTCCATCGCATCTGCCGCACGGCCTTTTGGGAGTGCATATACTTCTTGGCTAAGTTCAACAGTTGCCAAGAGGCACCAATACTCCCAAAAGGCCGTGTGGCTTTATTAATTTTGTGTAAATCAGTCCAAATTAGATCAAAGACCATTTGTGGGCACAGGCCTGCGTTGTGTCAGTAATGGTGTTTAACTCATCAGCTGTGCACGGCTCTTCCTGACATCACAGCAGATGAGGCATGTGACTGATGGGCTGTGGCTGATGGGTTGTGTAAAAATACTTTTCATGTGGACAAATATATGGTCTATTTTCTGCTTATATCGTGTTATATTCTCCACGATGCAAATTTTATTTTAGGTTGTACATAGGTCAAATTACATTCCTTCAGTTTCTTATATAATAGCTCCCTTATACAAGAGTCAAAGTTCTTTCCTGCTCATATTAGCATTGAGGCTGTGCTTATCACCTGTTTACAGCCCTGAGTCATTGGGAGGGGCAATTATATCCTTAGTACAACCACTGTCGACTTCTCAACCCCAGACAGATACTCAGTTTAGTCAACCCCCAATGAGAATTTCAACTCACAACTTTCCCATGCCGAGCAGCTAACTCTCCCACTGAGGTACCTGGTCAGCTCGACTTACACAATTTGGACTCATGTGCAGTAGTGTTTAAATGCAACATCTCAGTATTTAGATAAGTTAAGCATTCATTGGACTCTACACAATGAAACAAATGTTGTTGGACAAATGTCAAGATAAACAATGAAGCTTTGTTTATATGCTGTAATATTTAATTTAAGTTAATCAGGCATGAATACAACAATAGAATATGCAAAAACTGTTACTCTGCACATGTATTCAAAAGATAATTTTGCAAGCAATGGTTACCTTTTCAGTTTGCCTTTCAAAACAATATTATGATTGCATGGGGAGACTGTTAGCCAATGTAGCTTTTTAGGAGTGGGAATATCAGACATAGGATGTTTTATTGTTGGCAAATATAAAAGTAAACAATGTATCTATGGCACAGCGATAGTCTTGATTGGAAAGGCAGTAAAATGTTTTGTATTAACCACTATTGGCCCAGTTCATCGATTACCTGCATTATGCACATTTGAAAATATAATCAGACACTTGGGCTATTTCCTTGTACTAAAAAATATGTTACCAACTTGGCAATAATTAAGATTTTAGTACAACTGGTATCCGTGCCATTCTTATTGCGAAGACACTTTGTTTTACATCGTCTGCAGTAGTTTCACAGTTGGCGGCGATGTTGCTATGTGTAATCCCAATTGGGTCATTTGCAGGTGATTTTCACATTTGTTAAATTTGGACCATTAAACCAGCACACAATGGCCTACTCGTTTCAAACGAATGTAAAGCAGACGGTGCATATTTTATGGTTATTACACCTGCTGGGTTAAAATCACAAACTTATGCAAATGTGCGACCGCTGGACCATGTCACCTCCATAGCTAAATCGCCACCGCTGACTTAGTGAGAGTGTGTCACACGTATTTGTTGAGCCAGGCGAGCAGATTGGCACGTGCCTCCTTGATGTGCTGCTCGTCGGCCGGACTGATGTCCTCGTGCTTGCGGTGCACGAAGCCGTGCGTCTGTCCCGGAAACACCTTCACCTGCACATCCACCTGGCACTCAGCCACCAGGCGTTTCTCCAGCAATTGCACCTGATAGCGCCACACGATGGGAATACCCACACAATTATCATAGTGCAATGCCTAAAGGTAAAAAGTGCTTCGATTAAAAAAAAGTCTACAAATGAGAATTTATAGTTTGCACTCAGGGGTGTAGGGTTAAGATGCAAGACTGAATGCTTTGCCAAGTATGTATACTTTACCGTGTCCAATGGAATGAGTGGGTCATTTTCTCCAAAGATGTACAATACAGGATTCTTGAGTGCGTAACGGGACTCCTCTATCTTAATGATACCTGAAGCACACGGGTGGAACCAGAATTCACCAATATCATAACATCAGTACTCAACCACAGCCATGTTTACCACTCAATTTGTATGAACACTATAATACTGTAATTTGTATCAATATATTGGATCTTTCTAGATTTGAAGTTATCGTGACTGTATTGGATCTGTCTGGGTCAGTGCCCCGTAAAAAATGTATGCATTACACACCACGAGAACCTCCCCTATGGCAGTGGCTCCAAGTCATGTGCCAACTCCAGTCTACTAACAGCTCAGAGAATATTCTGTCAAAAATTAAGCCTTGGTTACAGTCATGGGCACCAAATATAAGACAAGAGTTTGAAGTTTGGTTGCATCCGGAGACTTTACCATAGCAGGAGACACCGGCTTGCAGCTCAGAGTTTGTGAGCAGCAGGTGATGAACGGCCAGTCCTCCCCAGCAAAAGCCCAATACCCCAATCCGCTGCACCCCACACTCCTTCTTCAAGTAATCCATGGCTGCATCAATCTCCCTAGTATAAGCACAGAGCAACAGCCACCAACACTTCTAAGTGTCATCAGCGTGACCGCATAATGTCGGAGTATTTACACAGAAGTACAAAAACAAAGATCCCTCGTATAGGCTTAACTGACTGTTGGGGCAAGTGCCATTAGGCGAGCACCTATGAAGACCAAAACGGCACACGAGCGGCGGGGTGATGGTCAGCACCATGCCCGATTGCCTTTGTTTCCTGAGTGGCGATCTTTAAACACCACACCGGATGCTTATTTGTGGCTGAGTCTACCAGATAATCTTCACTGGTGTTGGCCATGAGCGGGAACTGAACTCGGGTCATCGGGTTCGAAGCCCAGCATGCTAACCACTGCACTACCACTCCCCATAGACATACAAAGACAAAGATCCCCAATATAGCCTTAACAGACTGGTGGAGAAAGTGCTATTAGGGAGCACCTATGAAGGCTGGCACGGTACACGAGGGGGTGGGTGGCCAGCACCACGCTTGGTCGCCTGTCTCCCCAGTAGTGATGTTTACACATCACACCAAGTACTCATTTGGGGCTAAGTCGACCTAAGGGCGGCCCAGCACCGATTCAGATAATCGTCACGGGTGTTGGCCATGAGTGGGAATCGAACTCAAGTCGCCGGGCTCATAGCACAGCGTGCTAACCGTTGCACTACCGCTTCTCCCAGACGTACACACGCATATACTCATACATGCCACGTAAAGCCTTGACAGAGGTATTTTACACAGCCCTCATGTACACATCATATCACAGTGTGCAAAACGTACGTAAGAAAGTCTCAAGCACATAATTAATAATGAAAAATAAATGTTCTCTTACGTGCCGATGTTGGTGGCCTGCTTGTCCTTGAGCCACTCTTGAAAGGTACTCCAGTCGTGGCTGGGGCTCCAAGGCTCCTTCCCCAGGAAAAAGTCTGGTACGATGCACCTACCAGAGTACATACAGAACACCAGATGATAGTGGTAGTATGACTCATGGTTCAGGGTCCGTACATACATTCATAGGTTTAAACCTGTTCCAGCTGCTGAACGGTCTTGTTCAGAAAGATGGGCCTCATTTATACAAAGTGAACCCCACTCAAAAGCGTGTTGCTGTATTTTCCATATGAATATTAAACAAATTAAATGTAGAGCTTTTCACATATAGGAAGGAAGCCTAACGTTGAAGAGTACTACCTCACACAATTCAATTCATGCCCAATTTGGGGTGTTTATGTAGGGAAATGGAACATTAAGTATTTTAGCCAACATTGTCATTACAACCTTTGTGCCCATGTACCTACGTTTTTTCTGTTTTTTTCAGTTTCATTTATTTGGTATAGCCCTGTGAGCCATTCGGCTCTTGAATCAGGTGCAATCGCAACAAACAAAAAACATGAACAAGAAAACATCTTAAAGTGACTATGTGACTGTGCAAACAGAAAATCCAGGAAAAAACAGCAAAATATTACTTAAAAAGCACCATACACCAACGCTGTGTGCAAAAATCCCAGTGGGATGCAAGTCAAACAACAACAACCACAAGACAACTTAGATTAATAAAGTATTAAAGCTTTCGTGACTGCATAAAATTACTCATTGGTTTTAATTTTATTGTATTTCTACATACGTGACTTTACCGAAAAAACCAATGAGTAATTTTATGCAGTCACGAAAACTTTAATACTTTATTATCACACTTCTACGGGGAAGTTACCGTTGTAATTATGTGTAAGATGTGCCCTTTTTTGAGCTGCCGTTTTGTATTTACAAGAGGTGGTCATTTTTTGAGCTGCCGTTTTGTATATACAAGAGGTGGTCCTTTTTTGAGCTGCCCCCTCTCTCTCTCTCTGCCTCCCTGTCCGTCTTTCCTCACTCCTTACCTCTTGGTGGACTTGTATATGTATTTCTACTGACCGTGTACCTCGTATTTTTCATTCTATCTATGCTGGTATGTGCAATCCAAAGGTTGAACACGAAATTTAACACTCTTCTGAAATTCGTGGTCCGCCAGGAAGTGTCTAACTGTGTTGTTGGCCTGACTGGATGTGCTTCACATAATGTTTTTTCAGGTTTGTTGAATTCTTGTCTCTCATCTTTTTGTTGTATTTACCTCCGTGATTTGTTCTTGACACCTGATGAAGATCGCTTGCGTTGTGATCGAAACGTCGTGATTGTTTTTTGTTTTAATATTTTATTGTATTTCTACATACGTGACTTTACCGAAAAAAACCAATGAGTAACTTAGATTAAGGCCATCAGTCTAACTCCCTACTACAATAAACAAACATGGCAAACCAAAAGCCGTTTTCGACATCACCAAATAAAGCCATAAAAGCAATGTAACAATGATCATAGGAACTGACCGAATTTTCATAATAAACGACATAAACAACATGTAACACCAAACCCTAGAGCCATAGCTGGCTGCATGAGTCACTCCACAACAACAGGAGCATCAGTCGGAGTATCAATTTTTTCAATGCACCTTTGAGATCAGCACACTAAATCAAAATACAGATAAAACTTTGCAGCGGTCATCCGGAGCGAGACATTTTATTTTATATTAGGCTACTGAATAGCAGTGGCAGCTAGGGGTGTACAACTCCTCTAGAGCAGTTTTGAGTGAAGATCTCATAGGTAGTGATTCAAATTGCAGTTTATTGGCAATAACATTCCAGACCTTGGGGGCATCAATAGCAAAGGCCCTTCCTCCAGTTTTTGTACGGCAATAGGGAATATGAAGCTGGTAAATGAGCGAAGACCTGAGGTCAAATTTGTTCTTTGAAACAGAGAGGAGATCCAGCAGGTAGTCTGCAGATTTTTTTGTAAGTAGATCGTGAATAAATAAGGTCTGGTGCACAAGCCGTTGAACATTAAGAGATGTTAAGTTTGACGCAATTAGAGATCAGTGGTGAGTCCTATATGGGCAGTTCAATGCAAATCTTAAGGCCGAGTGATAGATGGAATCAAGCTTCTTTAGTACAGTACTTGGGGCTGATTTATACACGATGTCACAGTAGTCAAGTAGAGGCAGTATGGTAGCTTTTAATAATTTCAAACGGAACATAGGGGGGAAGCAGTGCTTGTGTCGATACAGAAAAACGTGACCGGAGTTTGCAATTAAACCCAGCTCCAAATTGGGTATTCACATGTGTAGTGACGTAAATAGAGTTACTTTGGCATTTAGTGCCAGTTACTGTTACAAGAGTGGAACTGTGTGTCTTGAACCTCTCTCTGGTACCAAAGTAGGTATGGCATGGAAGCGGGCCTTAAGGGGGCATGGTTCTGGTGACGGTGAGAGAGAGGGCAAGTGAGGACGTGACAGTCTGGGTGAACCCGAGAGGGCACGTGACCGGGACAGGGTAGCGAGGGGGCCCAAAGGGTGACTTGAGGGACACGTGATGCTCGGTCGAGAACCTTCTGATAAGATCCAGAAGGAGGGGTGGCCAATGGCAAAGCGAGGCTATGCTCGGGAGCATAAAAGGGAAGTCCCGAAAGCAATTGCGGCTGTCTGCTGGAATGGAACCCTCGGTGCTACGTCTCTTCGGTCTACGGTCGTTACGCTCGGCATCGTGGATCAGGCAGTGTGTCGCTGACCTGACCCGTTTATGTGGTTAACCTGTTGAGGTCTAGTAACTGTGTACGTTTATGTAGAAACCCTGTTGGGGTGTTATCATAAACATGTTGCCTCCAGGTCAAGTGTGTACCTCCGTGGAACCCACTAGACATGTGAAGTTGGTTCCACGGAGGCACACACTTGAACTTGGAGGCAACACGTTTATTACATGACCCCAACAGGGTAACTACATAAAGGTAACACTGGTTAACTAGACCACAACGGGGTAACTACATAACCGGTTCAGTCAATAACACACTGCCTGACCCACAATACTGAGCGTAAAGACCGAAGACCAAGGATCGAAGAGACGTAGCACCGACAGGTTCCATTCCAACAGACAGCCCGGATCAGCTCTCAGGACTTCCCTTTTATGCCTATGAGCGTGGCCTGGCTCCGCCCACGGCCACGCCCCTTCTAGAACCTACTGGAAAGCTCTGGCCCATATATCACATGTCCCTCAAGCCCCCTTCGGGCCCCCCTCGCTACCCTGTCCCTGTCACGTGCCCTCTCAGATTCACCCAGACTGTCACGTCCTCACTTGCCCTCCCTCTGACCCGTCACCCGAACGATGCCTCCAAGGCCCGCTTCCATGCCATATCAATTCTGGTGCCAGAGAGAGGCTCAAGACGTACAGTTCCACTCTTGTGACAGCAGCTGGTGCTAAACGCCATATTGTCTCCATTAACGTGACTACACATGTATAAACCAAATCATGCCTTTGGTCAAAGGTGAAAATGCAGTGTCATTCTAGAGGATAAATTATAGTAGTTTAAAAGAAAATATTCCAAATATAAAATATGCAACATCACGCATAACAGAACTAACCATACCCTTAATGTTTTAAACTATAATCAGTGTTATTTTCTCTACAGGGAAATAAATGTACCTAATATGTATGTGAATGTTCTAATACGGTGCTAATGCATGTGTAGTGGAGTAGAACGACACTACTGTATTGGCTCGGTATGGGGGCTGTAGGCAGGTGTCACGGGGGTCGTGTCGGGCCGTGACACTTCGTGAACCCAACAGGACACGTGACCGGATAAAAGGGGGGCTAGGGGCCCCAGGGGGGGTCACGTGGTACGGGTTCGGGCCTTCACAAAGGATCAGGGAAGGGGGGCGTGGCCTGGGGCAGAGCCGGCCACGCCGGAGTGGCTATAAGCGGGGCGTGGACGGAGAGCTGGGCTGTTCTGTGCTGTTCTGCTGGGTCATCTCTAGGATGAACCTACATCACTGTCCTGGTCCAGTGATGTAGTACCCCCATGGGTTAGCTAAGTTAGGAACGGTGGCTACCACCTTAAGTCGTTATGTTAAGTGTTACCTGTTGTGTTAGCTAATAATACAGAAATGCATTTACCATATTATTTGACATGTAAAATTACCAGTTGCTACATTAGAGGCAATGGTGTAACAGTGTACGGCAATGCAATAACACACGTGTATCCTTGTCCTGCCAGCCAGTCTGCGATGAAGCGAGTGTTGGGCAGCTTCCACCCATAGATGTCCTGGATGATGATGAGGCCCCGAACCGAGGCTTCCCCATTAGCACCAGGCTGAGCCGCACTTAGGTAAGAATCCACATGTCCCGCTCGCACCTCCTGGCCCTGCCCGCTGTAGGGCATCACGTCTCCCAGCTCGCAGGGGCATGGCTTCGCCTCATTTGCCATCTTTTCGCCCCTTCCCTGGGAATTCTCAGAGTCTGGAGGATACACCACGTAGGAAGGCATTACAAGTACAGTACAGGGTGGTCCAGATATCTTGTGAGCCCCATTTCATTCTTTAAAACTTAATGTTTGCCAGGGTGTGTAATGTAATGTAAGTAATATAAAAATTACATATAATAACTTTATTAAATATCATCATTATTGTAAATATTAGCAATGTCTTTGTTAAGAGTCCAGTAAGTCTGTATGAGAACCAGCATTTGCTTTGCACAGGATGATTTGGCGCCATGTCCTCTGGGAAATGTTACACAAATTGCTAGGTCCACTGAGCAAATGTATTCTTCACAGCACTCTTTCAATTAATCTGTTGTCCTGTATCTTTCTTTGAGTCACATCCTTTCATAAATCTCCCAAGTGAGTTATCACATGATAGATCAGGACTTCTATGGGGGTGGGGTGGCAATTAAGCGGTGCTGTAAAATTTGCTGAGCCTCTGCCTATCCACTTATCCTGAAAAACTTCATTGAGGAATTCTCAAACAGGAATTGCAAGTGGGCAGGTTCCCAGTCCAGATGAGACAAAAAATGCCCAAGGAGATTTAATCTTTGAAACCGCGGAACAAACCAATCCCTCAAAATGGTTAGATAAGAATGTTGGTTAACAAATGTATCAAATCAATATGGACTAAACCAATGTTTGCTTGATATTGCCGTGCACATCATAACATGTGGTGGATTATATTCTAACTCTTCATAATAATGTGAATTAGCTTTACTCCAAAAATAAACATTTCTATTACGTGCACTTCGATAAATTGCACATTCGTATGTAAAAAAAAACATTACCACATTGTGGGAGCGTCTCAAAAACCTCAAGAAACTGGGCACACGCTTCACTTCTTTTTTGTAAGTCAGCATCACTTAGCTCGTTGACAAACACAGGCTTGAAAGATTTCAACTTAAGATCATCTCTCATGTGCCTTAACATTGTGGTTTTTGGAATGCCAAGTTCAGATGATCTTTTTCTTAGTTACTTTTTGGGCGAGCGCTCAAGTAATTCACCAATTGCTGCATATTGCTCCTCTCTCTTAGGTCTCCCAGTCCTTGTTTCGTCTAAAATTGATCCTGTGAAAACAGCTTATGTTCCCAACTCAGTATTGTCCATTTTGGTGGAGCTTCTTTGTTAAATCTTTCACAGAAATCCTTTCGAATAGCTTTCATAGTTTTTATGTTTTTGATCTTTCATGAGCCCATACACTCACTACAAGCCGTTCTTCAATAGTATATGAACTCGTATCAGCCATCTGAAATAAATAAGGTTTATTTAAAAAAGAAATGAATAAGCAAAGGGAAAATATTAAAGGTCACTTAATTGGGAGTCACAAGACATCTGGACCACCATGTACTGTAACGATCATGGTTTATTGATCTATGGTTTATGGTTTATTGATCGTTACGCATGCTCTGTACATGTACAGGTCTTTCGAGTTTATTATCAGAAATGTAATGTATTTTATGATGAATCATACAGTACTGTTTATATAAAGTAGAGAGCATGCTGCTATTCGGCCAGAACAGTACTCTTTTGTGAATATGCAATTGAGCTTTGTTGCGTTATCACGGATTAAATCACAAAACCAGTTTCGATTTTGTTACATTTTTTAAAAGAAAAGCACGTGACGCTCACACCAGCGCATGCTGTGGAATGTGGCTTTACGATGACAATGAGCATTAACCCATCGCTGAACCTTTAAACATTAACTCTCCAGCAAATGTTCCGCATAGCTTTTGAAATATGTATACAGTACTGTACTCGGCTTATTTTCTCATGGAATATTTTACAGGACCCCTGGGCGGCGGGGGAAATTTTTGTTTTAGTTCAGCACCAAGCAAGTTCCAGCTGAAATAAAGCCCCGACTCGTTTGTACTGCATGTCGAACGTTAGCTATGAACAATGTTTATGTTTTGATTTAAAGCTTTCGTGACTGCAGTAATTCATATTCTTAGTTTTTTCGGTAAAGTCACGTTGAAGAGAAACAACAAAATAATAAAATATATATAAAACAATAAAAAAAGACGACCAGACGACCTGCTTGTCAGTTTTGATGTAGTTTCCTTATTCACCAAGGTGCCTGTACCTGACACCATTGCAATCATTGAAGACTTGGTTCATCAAGGACTAAACACTGAGGTACCCCCCCTGGTGAGACACTGTTTAACCAATACATACTTCACTTGGAATGGAACTTTCTACAAACAAACTGAGGGTACCCCAATGGGCTCCCCCCTTTCTCCAGTTATAGCTAACATTTTCATGGAGAAATTTGAGACTGACGCCATCCAGACTGCCACTCTGCGCCCAACCTTATGGAAGAGGTACGTGGATGACACTTTTGTCATCTGGCCACATGGCCGGCCTGCTCTAGACCAATTCTTCGACCACATCAATTCCATACACCCAGCCATCAGATTTACCATGGAAGTCGAAATAGATGGCAAGATACCTTTTTTGGATGTCCTAATTAAAAAGAGACCTGATGGTTCAATGAGCCACTCTGTCTACAGGAAAGCTACCCATACGGATGCTTATCTGAAACCGGATTCCCACCACCATCCATCACAGAAGAATTCTCTCATCAAGACTCTGTATCATAGAGCCCAATGCATATCCGACCAGGAACACATAAGCAGTGAACTCAAGCACGTACACCAAGCTCTTAGGGCTAATGGTTACTCCGACTATACAATCCGCAAAGCTATCACTCAAACCATGAAGAAGAACCCTCTTGAGGAGCCTTTCAAAACCATCACTTTACCCTACATTGCTGGGATCACAAAAAAGATCTCCAAAATCTTGAATAAACACAAGATCCAGGTCCGTTTCAACACATTACATAAAATCCGTGATCTGGTTCCGTCTGTAAAAGATGTGATTCCGGACATACAATACCCTGGTGTCTACAAACTAAGTTGCCTCTGTGGTAGTAGTTACATTGGAGAAACCAAACGCCATGTCTCGGACCGCATTCGTGAACACAAAGCAGACCTTAAACACGGTAGGACCAACACCTCGGCCGTAGCAGATCATTGTTCTAATTCAGTAGGCTCACATGCCATTGCCTTTTCCAAGACAGAGGTTCTTTGTAAGCCATCTGGCTTCCATGAGCGATTCGTTCATGAGGCTATCCACATATACAAGCACAGAGACAATTTCAACCGAGAAGATGGATTCTATCTTAGCAATCATTGGAAAGATTTGATAAACCATTTCAGTTCTTAATTGATTGTTCACGCTTACAGTGGCTTTCAGACAGCATACATTATAAAAAATTTCGTCTCCCCCCTCCTCTTTTCAGAATATAGATGGACTAGTCCTGGGTAAACTGCCAAATCGCTGCGCGTGGCGCTAACGTTTTAAATAAATAAATAAATGCGCCGTTTACAAATACATTTATGCAAACCAACACACCTGAAGATGACCGTTTGAGTTATGGTCGAAACGTCTTGAGAATTTTTTTATTGTTTTATATATTTTATTATTTTGTTGTTTCTCTTCAACGTGACTTTACCGAAAAAACTAAGTATATAAATGTTTATGTTATTTTACCCACTGAGCTATATAGCTCTGTTTCAGAAGCGACCTGGCCACAAATGATAGCACAACGAAGCGGCTTTGTTGCGTGGAAATGTACAGCAGACAAATACTCTCAATGCATGTTTCTAAATGTGGAGGGGAAAACCTGGAGGAAAATCCACACGACCACGGGGAGAACACGCAAACTCCAAATATACAGCGGGCGTCACAGGGTCGGGATGGAACTCACGATCCTCCTGTATACCAGGAGAGGTAGTTAACATATCGTCACCATCGCCGTCAAAACCAGCAGGATTCGTACAGGTGGAAGGAATCACGAGCGAGCAACTCTGAACACCGAGTTTGCCTGCAACAGTGCCCCTCGGCTATGGAGTTACTGCAACAATTGCATGAGCGAAGCTGTACCAAGAGATTACTGGACTGCAACGCTGCAGAAGTGGGTGCAGCCTGATCAACATGATCATTTCATTGCATCTACATGCGGCGTGCATCACAGTGCCACCAAATGTTCGCAACGACTGACGAACGCACAACCGCATGCGCCAAAACCGTGGGACAATCAACAATCGCAACACGAAGCGCACTGTGGCACATACATACATACAATGTGTAGCGCAAGTTAAATCAGAACAGACACGCCTGGTACCGAACGGACCGGTGTGCAGGATTTAACCCCATTTGTCGACCTCGTTACTTCAGCAAAATTACCTCAAGTCAAAGATGTCTGGAAGGAGGATGCCATTGAAGAGCAAATGAAAGCTGAAGTGCAAAAAAGAGACCCTAAAACAGTGGTTCTTAACCTTGTTGGAGGTACCGAACCCCACCAGTTTCATATGCGCATTCACCGAACCCCTCTTTAGTGAAAAATAAAATGTGATTTTTTTCAAATTCAAGACATAGATATTTTTTTACTGGTACACAAAATGAGCCGTGCATGAACATTACCTTGTTCAAAGAATAAAACCAACACAATGCATAAACTCACAACAAATTACATACCTGGAAATCTATGTGACTTCTGCTGTTGCCTTTGAGAGATCAGTTCAGATATGCGTGGCTTCACCTTGGCAAGTGCCACTCTCATGTCATTTTCACAGCAAAGTCTGTTCCTTTTCTTCGTTTTTATGTCCAGCATCCTCGAAAAGGATTGCTCACAAAGATATGTTGTAACAAATGGTATAAAAAAATCCAGGGCTTTCTTAGCAATAACTGGATACTTGTTCATTTGTCGACACCAAAACGTTGAGAGCGTTGTTGTTCTGAAGAGTTGCTGTTGAACCTGGCTCTGCTGAATTTCAATGATTTCGTCGAGGAATTCATCATTGACATCTGCTGTTTCAACAGCAAACGTGAACGGCTGTCTCACCCATGCTGGATATGACTCTCTTGTAGGGAAATATCCGTCGAGAGACTTTGCAAGCTCATCTAAGTGCGTGGCAATTGTTTGCTTCAGTTCCGTGGATACAGAAATATCTCCGATTCCAGACACATCTTCGATCTTACTTGCACAGTCGTCCAGAAGCGGGAAGTTTGCGAAGTTATTGTTCTCTGTTCGTCGTTTCCATAACGGTAGCTTTTTTTGAAAAGCCTTCAGGTGTTCTTCCGCTTCCATGATATTGACTCCACCACCCTGCATCTGCTGATTGAGATGATTGAGAGCTGCGAATATATCAGCCATGTACGCTAAAATGAGAATGAACTCAGGATTTTTGAAGCAATCTGCATGGCAGTGTTGGTGCTCTTGCAAAAACAGGGCTAATTCCACACGCATGGCAAAAACACGATTCAGCACCTGTCCCCGGGATAACCACCGAATATTAGAATGGAGCAGAAGTACCTCAAATTCAGAGCCCATTTCTTTACACAGCTCACTGAAGATGCGGTGCCTCAGAGCACTTTTTCGCACATAGTTCACACATTCCACCACAGTTTTTAATACTTCTGTCATTTTTGGAGGTAAGGTTTTTGTTGCCAACGCATGCCTGTGCAGAATACAATGCGTCACAATGATGTGTGGTGCATCGGCCTTTACTAGCGCACCAAAACCAGACTTTCTTCCCAGCATGACTGGAGCTCCGTCCGTACAAACTGCAGAAACCATATCCCATGAAAGATTGTTGTCTCTGAAGAAGTCATCCACAAGCTTCTTCACATCGGCTGCCTTCGTTGTTGTTGTAAGAGGCTTACAAAATAAAAACTCTTCTTTTATCATGTCGTCTTTCACATAGCGTACAAAAACAGCAAGCTGGCTTAGATCAGAAACGTCTGTGGTTTCGTCGAGTTGAAGGCTGAATTTTGCCGGGCTTGAAATCAGATCCGCGACTACTTGAGCCAAGATGTCTTTACTCATGTCTTCTATTCTGTCACTGACGGTGTCATTTGAAAGGGGAATTTGGGATAATTTACCTTCGGCCGCTGTTCCGAGTATCAGATTCGCCATCTTTAATGCAGCTGGTTTCACAAGTGTTTCACCAATGGTGTGTGGCTTGCCCTGCTTTGCGATCAGGTAAGCAACTTCGTACGATGCTGTCAGGATCGGTTTGTTAACAGGTACAAATCCAAGAGCAGGCAGAGTGGCCCTTTCATCGAATCTGGCTCTCTTCACCCTGAATTCAGCAAGTGTTGTGTTCTTGTATTCCCCGTCTCCATGCAGCTTCAAGAAGTGTTCCTTTAGTTTTGCCGGTGCAAGACTAGAGTTGCTCAACTTGGCGTTGCAAATCATGCAGATAGGACGCTCACTCCCATCACGTTCCGTGATACATGAGAATCCATGTTGTACATATTCGTCCGACCACTTTCCTCTTTTACGCGACATAGTTAGTATGGATAAAATATTAAAGAAATCACACGACGTACGACAACAACAGTCACACGTTGACTACTGAGTACGCACTAAATTCCCCGCAGCGCTGATTGGCCAAGCAGTGTAGCATGATCATCTGCAGCCAGTGATGGCCAAGCGGGCCGTGTGTGTCATCACAAATTTACACAATAATTCAAGTGTGTCCGGACCTCCGTGGCGGGGGCTCTGCCGAACCCCTGAGATCGACTCACCGAACCCCTGGGGTTCGATCGAACCCAGGTTAAGAACCACTGCCCTAAAACAATTACCTTTGACGCAGGTACCGCGCGGTTTTTTGCTGTTGTTGCTATATCCGCTAGTTATTTTGAGTATTGTTAATATTTCAACAACAAAATTATCGGTTTGCCTGTTAAATGTTTCCCAGCGTTGTGGTACGTCATTCGCGTGAGCTTCTTGGCACAACACTTCCAGCGCGTGACGCCTTTCGAAAGGCATCCGGTGGCGAATTCTATGCGCGACGTCATGTCTGCGCGTGACGTCATTCGTGTTAACGCGTGGGGCGGGGCGCGCGTGGGGGGGGGGAAGACCCCCGTTATCGGCGTGACGTCACACGTGGCGGCATGGCGGAGGCCGGTCAGGATCGGAGGCCTCGCTTCGGCACGCGTCTGCTGGAGGCCGGAGCGCACGTGTTCCAGCACAACGCCTGGTACCACATCCCTCGCAAAACCCCCGTGACACTCTGGCGCATCTCGCTATGGTCATCATCACGATCCATGGGCAGATAGCCCCGCACGTGTTCCACTGCACCGTTTCGTCATTTGTTTCCACTTTCCTCTTGTGCCAATATGCTCAAGTCGTGCCCACGTCTGTCTGGCACCGATCTCATAAGTGTCGGCGTCGTCAAGCCATTCTCTATTAGGTCTTCCTCTCTTTCCGGTTCCTTACATTTTTCTTCTAACGAAACGCTTTTAAAATGTCCTGTTGTCCATCCTACATGTGTCCAAATAGTGCCAGTTTCCTTCTCATCACTGTCTGCATCATCACCATGTCTTTCCTCTGTGCGCAACCTTTTTCTTCTTCGTTGGTCAACTCTTTGGTTCCAGCTTAGATGCAGTAATCCTTCTGTAGCAATAAATTTCGAGTGCCAATATCGTGTCTCTGTCAGTCCTGTTTAATGTCCAAGTCTCGCAGGCACACAAAGCTGTACTGAACGCACGTGTCCGTAAGATGTTCGGTTTTGTCTTGTCGCCGATTTTGCTCGCTTCGCCAGACGTTATCGAATCCTGGGCATTACTCCTTTTGCCTTTGCCATGCCCTCCCTCTTGTGTATTCCGTGCAGTCGTTGTCGCTCTGGTGCCTCGTTTTATTTCACGAGCCTCCTCCGGCGCGGCGGCGATGATTTTGGTACCACAGTATGCAAGTTTAATTTAAAAGGAGCGGTGGCGCAGCGGTTGGCAATCAACCGGGCGGCGAGCGACTCGAGTTGGAATCGGTCTGGAACCAGGTCCTCTACTTGGATAAACCCGCACTGACCAGCGTGGTGAAGTATGGTCAAAACAATCCCAACGATGCCCGTCGTGACACGGCCTGGTGAGGCCTTTATTTTGTAGGTTTTACTGTACACGGTAGATGATGTCTCGTGACTGCCATTTAATTCTATAAAACGTTATATTTTTTTTCTTCAAATGAAACGTTCTATTTCTGTAGGTAGGGTTTTATTTTAAACAGAAATGAAAAAAATATATATACAAAGGAAAAACATGTTTGGGGGTCAATTAATTGAGGATCACAAGACATCTGGACCACCCTGTAAATTGTATTCACGGCCAGCGGGCGAGAAAAAAACGGAGACGAGCTCCAGGCACCCCGAGGTAACGCGTCCCGAGGTTGAGTCCTCTGTCGATGAGATGGAGCGATGAAATCAGCTGGTCTGCAGGTGCCCAGGTTGGAGTGTTAACATCGCATCACTCGCACCGTCAGAAATGAGACGCCTTTGGAAGGCGTTCATCCATCAGTGGACTGACGATGGCTGATGATGAATGAACACGTGCAGCACTATGCTAATTCACTGCTGGATGAGGGAGCGACCTCGCGCCGTGCTGATCGTGGGGGTTATATTTCACAATTGGTACAAAGGCAGGGAACATAGATGTTGGGTTGTTGTACAGTATAATGGACTTTGGGTATCCTTCATCCGCTGACAATGTCCCCGCTTCAGCCCACAACACCTCTTTAAGCATAGTGATGGCACATCAAAACGTCATCCAGGCTCAACGTGATTAGCGTCCGAGATCTAATTTCAGCATGGCCCTTGTAGATACATCGTGTACTTTAAAACTAGTTGATTGACGGAAAAATGTTTTACGTTTAGTGTCGTGCGCATTGGAGTGATGCTACCAGAGCGCCCTAATAAATTAAAAGTCTTTTGTAACTCTCATTAACGAAGCTCCAAATGCATGACAGACGGACAGGGTCACAGCCGAGGTAACGTGTCTACAAGACGAGACCAGTGTGTTTTGGGGTACCGAGTGCCTTTGAGTGGAACAAGTCCGTTTTGCAGCAGGTTGCATTTCGATGCCCATTACAGGTGACCTGTCAATTCCCGAAGACATGGGGTGCTGTTGTCAAATTGATGGACTGACAGTTGTAGGATTATTGAGTTTAATTTTTGGAGTTTATTCATCTCTTTCATAATACTTCATTTTTTTTATCAATTACATCCATTTACTCTTTGGTTCTTTTGGTAAAAATAAATTAAATAATAGAATACGACGTTTCGATTGCAACACAATCGTCATCAGGTAGAACTAAGTTTGAGAGAGAGACAAAACACAGACACGGAGACACAGACAGACACACAAGCAGAGAGACACAGCGAGAGACACAACATAGACACACAGAGACCCAATGCCTCTGTGTCGTGGCCTTTTTACATACATTTGTGAATTCTCTACTGGATGAAGGCTTCCTGACAGTCATGGGGTGTTGACTTTAATTCACCAACATTTTTCTCATGAGTTAGTAGTGGCTTGTCCTTTAGCATTGTGGTCTGTGCCATAGGAATGTGGAATTTTCTCGACTGGCTCATTCAGTCCCACCATTGGGGATATGCACAAACCAAAATTATTCCAATTTTTTCTGCCTCCCCAAATCACTCGTCGCTAAACTTCATATGATTAAAAATGCCACTGCCAGAATTATCATCCAATTGTTCTCTACGTATTGACATGTGGTCACATTTAGATGCTTTATGAATCAAATGTGTTGTATTGCAGAGTGATTAATTGTAAGTAATCTGTTTATCGACACCAAATTCAGTGCATTTATAGTCCGTGTAAATATATTGAAATTCATGAACTGTTATGTCTACTTAAGTCTAAACCAAAGTGCGCCATCTACTGTGAAGTGGACGTTATCAGCTGTGGTTGCCCACCATGTCACAACTCAAACTAAAAAATATCTAGAAAATTAAATACAGTATACTTTTTAAAAATGTGCTGTTACATAACCGCTATCTGGCTTCCCTTGCAAAAGTCATAAAGCCATGGTACACCCACTTAAATGACTAAAATTAATTGACTTATAATGAATTGCTTATTATTTGGATTGGGAGGTCACATTACTGCATCCAGTAATTGTTCCAGACACAGTTCCATACGTAGTCTGCCTCCGTTGTTTTCCCAGTTAGCGGCCAACCATGAGCATAATGCGAGGGGTGGCGGTACCTGCCGTGTGGCGACTAAGGTGGGACCTTGGCCTGGTTAAGCGGCAGTGCAGGCAGGGGAGCTCGTGGGAAAAGCCCATGGCTCCTCTAGGCAGCCGCCTCCTCACCGATCCCAGCCGCGTCATGGAGCACAACATGTGGTGAGTGTGGTAGTGAAGGATCACTCTGCAATAATAGGTGACATGTGCAAGTGTGGTCAGGCCTGGATTATCTGTTATGCTTGGTGCATGAATTCAGGACACATTAATGCCTTGTTTCCATGGCTAGTGGGAAGCTTCCTGGGACAGTGCTCTCACTGGGCTGGCCCAGTGGACCCACTTTTCCACAGCATCTTGGCCTGGCTGAACTAATCACAACAATTTACAGATCCGGGCCCCCAGACTCCCTCCACGCAGCCTATGCTGCATGCAGATCAGCAGGTTCATACTTCATATCAAAAGTGTGCTCACCACTGCTATACATTTCATCCCACATGATAAGCCACTTCATTCAGCTATCATTTGTGGCTTCTGAAAAAGAGCTATATAGCTCAGTGGGCCTTAATAAAATAATAAAATAATGGTTTAGTTGAATTGCTTAGTGTAACCTACCCAATTCTATATACAACCTTTATTTTAAGATGTTTTTTTAGACCCACCCTGGCCATAATGAGTGAGGAGGCTTAGAAGGTTGGGAGGGACAGAATGAGAGTGGCCGAGCCCAGGGTGCCTCGTAAAGTATGAGAATGTAAACCCATGTCATGCTACTGTACCTTGGCTGTTCTTTGGTTATTCCTGGGCTTACAGCCTCCGTCCCAGTGGTCATGCAAACAAGGTGAATAGCCTTGTTTGCATACAGGCATGCATACTCAGAGCTATGACACATTTGGAGGAATTACTTCTTATCAGACTGGACGAAGGACCAAGACCAGTGAACAATGCAGACAGACGGTGACACTGCAGCCTGGCTTGGCAAAGTATATACAAAGAAGTTTTGAAAGCTACAAAGGGCTTGAAGATTGCATATCCAAGGACATTGGACAGTGTCTTGGATTGGGGTCCCGTGATATAAGCCAGACCCTTAAGTACGATAGGTGATGCTGCTACGTGTGGGTCTCACTCAAACTAGAGCACAGCTGCAGGTGCCTGTTGTTTCTGTTTTTTTTTTGCAGGGATCATGTGCAGTGGACAACTGAGCAGGAGGAGGAGGCCAGGCACAAGGTGCAGGAAAATGCAGTGCAGAAAGCCCCTGAGGAGAAGCAGGGTATGATTGTTATTTGTTTTTTAAAAATAATCGGTATCTCTCTCTTAACCTTCAATGGTTTTATGGGGGTGCCACTGATGCCTTAGTTGTTCAATCTCTCCACCTTTGGCGTTATTAACATGCCACCAGTGTACTGTATATGTATTGATAAGGACATTTCTGCATGTCTTCTATTCACAGAACAGTATGAAAAGGAAGCCAGTAATTTTTGGAATGGCTTTTACAAAATCCATGAGAATCGCTTTTTCAAAGACCGGAACTGGCTCTTTACCGAGTTCCCAGAGTTGCTGGGAAAAGAAGACTCTTTGGCTGACCCAGAAGTGACCTCTGACAGAAACTTAAAGCACATAGCCTCTGCAACTGAGATTGTAGGTGACCATACTGTGTGCCAGCAAGCATCAACAGACTTGTGTAATGCAGCAGAAATGCAGATGACCCTAAATGATAGTAATACTTTTCCTGGATCACTTGCAACATTCCGAATCCTTGAGGTATGTACCTAATCCTTACAATACGTAACGTTTTAAAGTGTAAAGTACTATAAATCAACATGTT